CTAAATGCGGTCACATTCTTAACTGCTGGGGATTAGGACTTCAGCATGTGAGTTGAGGGAGAAATATAATACAGCACATTACAGAGGTTAATATTACAGTGTATTATTTTATTTCATTAATTTAATTTTTTTTAAAGTTTTGACAAGATATTTACATTGAAAACTACTTTTAAGAAGTAACCAAAGAGCCTCAACGAGGTAGCTCAGTTGGTCAGAGCATCGTCCTGTACACCAAAATGTTTTCTGGTTTGATTCCCAATAAGGGTACATACCTAGGTTTTGAGTTCCATCCCTGGTCGAGGTGTGTAAGGGAGACAACTGATCAATGTTGCTCTCTCCCCCTCTTCATCTCTCTCTAAAATCAATAAAACATATCCTCGAGTGAGGATTAAAAAGAAGAGGTAACCAAAAATTGTGATTACCTGTTTTTAAAATCAATGAACAAGTAAACAAATGAACAGTTCAATAAATGATAAAGTAAGGTTAAAGTGAGAAACTGAGTAGAGCTACAATAACAATTTTCTAGAAGAGTAATAGAAGGAGTGGTATTGAAGCTAATCTTAAATTCTTTTAAAAAAAAATTTTTTTAATTAAAAAAAAAGCACAAAACAGAAGGGAACCCTCGCTGGCTGGCTCAATTGGTTTGAGTGTTGTCCTGTACACCAAAAAGGCTGCTGGTTCAATTCCCAGTCAGGGCATGTATGGCAGGCAACCAATGTTTCTCTCAATCAATCAATCAATCAATCAAAAAACAAGCATATCCTCAGGTGAGAATTAAAACAATAAAAAGACAGAAGGGAGTACAGGATAAACTATCCATATTTCTAGGTGTATATGTTTTCTTCTAGGTAATGAAAAATCAAAGCATAGTGTCAAATTTAAAAGATCATTTCAGGTTGTAAATTTTTAAAATTTAAGTGAATTTAATATAAATAAATAAAGGTATTACATTTATAGGTCAGTGATTCTGAATGGTAGGAGATGGTGATGGAAAAGAATGCCTTTCGGGGATGAACATATCAAAACTAGGGCACATGGCACAATGCTCTTCTCAAATTATACTGTCTGAAACTCTGATTTTCTGTCGTCCCCTCTACAATACCCTGAAAATCAACTACACTTATATAATCATAGTCTCTAAGCAATCTAATATGTCCTAGGAAAGGACATGTTAACCATGTACTAAAGACTTTAATTCAATATACTGCATCACCAGAGAAGCTATATAATGTTGGGTGACCTAAACATTAATTAACACTGGGTTAGGCACATAGTTTCATAAAATCATCTGCCCTTTGAAAAAGCATCAGATATCTGAAACCCATCCCCCACAATTAAGAACCAGTGGCTAAGGCTGGGAGCGGCCAGGCCCGGGGGAGCAGCCGGGTCGGGTGCGGCCAGGCCCGGAGCAGCGGCTGCCAGGCTGGGAGCGGCCAGGCCCGGGGGAGCAGGCGGGGCTGGTGCGGCCAGGCCCGGAGCAGCGGCTGCCAGGCTGGGAGCGGCCAGGCCCGGAGCAGCAGCAGCCAAGTCCAGAGCAACTAGGTCGGAGCGGCAGTGACCAGACCCGGAGCAGCTGGTTGTGGTATGAACCAGAGCAACAGAGGCCAGGCCCTGAGCAGCCAGGCCCAGAACAGCTCGCTCCCTGCCTGCCCCTGCCCCACGGCTGCTTCTCAGACATGGCTGGAAACTTTCGTGGGAACTTGAGGGTCTGCTGAATCAAGTGATGAAGGCTTAGATCTGGATGTGTTGAGTTAGTTTAGGACTGGGGTGTTGATCTGTGAGTGCCTTGGGTGGGGCCTGGATGAGGCTGGTTGACCTAGTGGGAAATGTCTTTTGTGTGAAGTGTATCATTGGGCATGTGGAGGTATTATTGATATGAGAAAATGCTAAGTAACTGATTTACTATCTGAAAAGGGATTTACTATTGGGGAAATTGAGGGAAGAAGAGACTGAACATAAACTGCACCTATGGATGAGGACAATGGGGGATGGGGGGGGGACGGAGGGTGGGGTGGGAACCTGGTGGAGGGGGGAAGAAATGAGGAACCTTTGTAATAATATGAACAATAAAGATTGATTTAAAAAAAAAAAAAAAGAACCAGTGGCTAGCCCAACCGGAGTGGCTCAGTTGGGTGAGTGCTGTCTTGTACACCAAAAGATTGCCAGTTCATCAGTGTTTCTCTCTCACATTGATATTTCTCTCAGCATATCCTTGGGTGAGGATTAAAAAGAAACAAAACTGCCGGGACCGGTTTGGCTCAATGGATAGAGCGTCGGCTTGGAGACTAAAAGGTCCCGGGTTCGATTCCGGTCAAGGGCATGTACCTTGGTTGCGGGCATATCCCCAGTAGGGGGTGTGCAAGAGGCAGCTGATCGATGACTCTCTCTCATCGATGTTTCTAACTCTCTATCTCTCTCCCTTCCTCTCTATACAAAATCAATAAAATATATTTAAAAAAAAAAAAATAATAAAATAAAATAAAATAAAAAGAAACAAAACTAATGGCTATAAGCCAGTCATTTCATACATAGAAAGCTAAAATCCAGAGAGGTTAAAATGACTTCTGTAAAGACACTGTGATAGTATTGGTGGATCCAGGAACCAGGTCTAAATTCCAGTATTGTCAACTACTATTTTAGAAATCATTATTCCTATTTCTAGTATTCAGGGGTTGTTGTTTTTTAATATGTTTTTATTGATTTTAGAGAGATGAAGGGAGAGGGAGAGAGATATAAACATCATCGTTCGGCTGCCTGCTGCATGTCGAATGCCTACTGGGGAAAGAGGCCACAACCCAGGTATGTGCCCTGACCAGGAATGGAACCAATGACCTCTTGGTGCATGGGATAACACTCAATCCACTAAGCCACACTGGCTGGGCAGCATTCATGGTTTTTATCCAATGTGCAGTCTGGTCACTGCAACTTAAGTGTAAATAAAAGCTTAAAAAGCTCAGCCAGCCCAGTCGGTGTGACTCAATGACTGAACATCAACCTCTGAACTAGAAGATCATGGTTCAATTCCCAGTCAAGGCATATGCCAGAGTTGTGGGCTCTGTGCAGGAGGCAGCAATCAACAATTCTCTCTCATAATTGATGTTTCTCTCTCTTTCTCCCTCTCACTTTGTAAAATCGATAAAAAATACGTTTTTTTAAAAGCTAAAAAAGTGTCTTAAGAGAAACAAATGAAATAAAAAAAGATTAAAGATAATCTTTTATTTATTTATATGCCAACCTCATTCCCAAGAGGCTTACAAAGATGCAGATAATACAGTAAGATAAAAAAAAAAAAAAATAAAACATAGGAAAATAAAGGAAACCAAGAATGTGGCTAGCTTACAATATACATAAAATGAAGTCCTAAACACTTGCTGGATGGAAGCAGCCACAAATTGGCTCTAAGTAGTTTAGCATCAATATGAAGAGAAAAATACAGTCGGTAGAATATTTAGTGTCTTTAAAGTAAAACCAAACAGCAATTCAGGAAAAGCACACTGGGTTCAGAGAAAATTTATCCTATGCATCTTGAAAAAGAACATTATGAATTACAGTCATATATACCCTTTACAATATCTATAGCAATTAACTTTCATAGGGATTTGATACGGATTGCTAAAGTGCAACCCAGAAAAAGCAATCCTAAAGAGGCCAAAAATACTAGCAATGTACAGGGAAAATCTGGCATAATCCAGGGACAGAATTAAAAGTACACAGAATACTTTCCAGACTCTTTTTGTTCTGGAAAAAGAGATTAGGTATAATTGAAGAATAATAAAAAACGAATCTTTAGAGAAGTTAAAGAAAATTTAAAAAAATAAAGGCCAAAAATGTATACAAATTTAAGGTCCAGATGACTTTTCTCACTAAGGGAAAAGGTTCTTAAATTTTAAGGATGAACCCTAGCCAGTTGGGCTCAGTAGATAGAGCATTAGCCTGCAGACTGGAGGATCATGGGTTCGAGTGCCTCAGTTGCGGGCTGGATCTCAGCCCTGGTCGGGATACATCTCAGCCCAATCAATGTTTCGCTCTGTGTGTGTTTCTTCCCTCCCTACCACTCACTCTAAAATTCAATGGAAAAAATATCCTCAGGTGAGGGTTAATAAAAATAAAATAAAAAAAATATTAAGGTTGATATCATGCCTCTTAATCCCTTGGTTTGCCCATTAGAACTGAATCCTGGGATGTGTAAAACGACGATTGATTTAAGAATCCTAATGTCTTTCAAAGGGATTTTGTTTTGGAAAAAAATTGAAAAACTATTTCAATTACTTCTAAAGACATTTAACCCACCCATGCTTCAGTTCCTATTTATTCTCTTCCTCAACTTGGCTATTATAATTCACTTTAAAAATATTTTAAATTAAATTTTTTAAAGGCTGGCTTTGGCCCCCAGAATTATATACTTTAGGTGTATACCTTGGGGATGAAATGCCAGCTTTTGAGACCTCTGAAAAATATTTATACTGCTTCTGACAAACCTGTTAAACACATAAATAGCACCTTAGAAAGTTATGAAGTGTTATTATTGCTCAAGGAAAGAAACATGATTCAAAAACGAGGAGGGGGGAAAGTGAAATAAGCCTCTGGCTAAAAGCTTCAGGGTATGAACACTAGAGAAATGAAGCAGAGGAAAAGGTCAACACTTTGATCCGAGATGTTGAATTGAGTGTGTGTTGTATAATAGGGGAAAGAGCTAGGTCAGTTGTGGCTGCCAATAGCAGAATGCCCAAGATTTAAACTCTGGTACAATGCCTAGAACAGCAGTCACCACCCAGTGGTCCACGGACCACCGGTCCATGAGGTCTGAAAGGTTGGCGACCACTGGCCTAGACAAATATGTCAAACTCACAGCCGACGGGCTGCATGTTTGACATACTTGGCCTAGAAAAATAAGAGGCTACAAAGTAAAAACAAACTGGATCATCAAGGTGGTCATACTGAGTTGGCAATGGAGGAGATGCTCAGGTTCCCAGATGGGCCCCAGTCTATAGTAGAGGGGTTCAAGCAAGTCCAGGGTAGACCAGATAGGACTCCAGGTTACAGTCAAAGTCCTTGAACAGCATGGACTCTGATGGACTAGGCTGGGTAGCTTGAGTCTCCAAGACAAAGTTCACTGGCTGTTTCTGTAGGAGCTCTGGGTCAAAGGTCACACCCCGAAAGAAAGGGTGGACCTGGAAGCGATGCAAATGATGTAGACGCTGGAGGGGATTCTGGCATAAGAGCTGAAGGGAAACAGAGCAACAAGGAATAGGGACTGGGATGGGAAAGGGGCTGTTAACAGAGAAGCTAAAAGGGGAAAGAGAAGTTCATGGAGCTGTGGAGGGCAGAAAAAAGAACCCTAAAGAGGAAGGGACTTATAAAAGAGGGAGACAGGCTAATTTGGGGGCAAAGGCAGGAATAAAGGAACTGTATTGGTAAGAAAGCAGCACTGGCCTACTCTCTCGGAAGTGACCTGTTATGGATGGCTAGGATATTTGGAGGAACAGGAACTCAGGAATAAAATTTGAAATGCTGGTTAGAGGGCAAGTAGTGACATATTACTTGGAGTTGAAGTCAGCCATCTGCCCCACCTTCCCCCCAAATAATCACAGGGATGGGGAAATGCCACTTCAATGATAGGGAAAGGAGAGAGTGAATGGTTAGTTTGGTAGTCAAAAAGGAAAGCAGTGTTCATCCTTACCTCGTGGAGCAGAAGTGAGAGCCCCTGGTTAAGAGAAGCTGGGATCTCAGAGTCATTGTGGGTCACACTTGCCAGCATGGCCACATGATCTCTCTCTGCGGCCACTGGGAACTAAGTTGAGGGGTGGGAGGGTGTCATTTCTTAGTAAGAAAAAAGGTTTCCTAAGGTCTTCCTTCTTCCCACCACTGGGCAAAACTCCTCTTTTCTGCCCATTCTCTCACCTCTCCAGTTGCCAGAGAGAAAAGCAAAACACCCAGGGACCACCAATCAGCAGCATGGTTGTAAGGCCCTCCTCTTAAGACCTCTGGGGCTACAGATTTGAAAGATACTGGTCATTGACATCTGTTGGCTATCCTCTTGCCCAATACTTATCCACCTGCTTTGGCCTTTTTCTTACCCATGTATTGAAGAGTGCCACAAATAGTGTAAGCTCGAGCTCCCTGGGGCAGGTGGCGGGACAGACCAAAGTCTGTCAGTTTCAGATGACCTAAATAAAAGACAGTGCAACAGCACCACTCTGTTCCATCCCTCGTCAGCCCTGGCTCATCCCCAAACTTGAAGTGACTCACATTCCAGGGCTAGAAAAAGAAAAGGATTTACCTCGTTTATCCAGGAGGATATTCTCCATCTGAAAAAAATAGCAGATGAGAAAGTATTAGTCATCTTATTCATTTCAACTCTCTTTTATCATGTATACCCCCCAACTGAAAAAGATGCCCTGCTCAACATTCAGGTCTATACATGGAAGGTCCTTGCCCAAATCCTTAGCACCTATGCGTGTCCCAAGATGAGCTGTTCTCAGCTCCCCCATACCTTCTTGGATCTGTGGAACTTACTCGGGCACCTCCTCAGACCAAAAAAAAAAAGCACTTAACTCTTACCTTCACATCCCGATGGATGATGCCCAAGTCATGGAGATAGCCTGTGGATGACAGCAAGCAGGTGGTATGCTGAAGCACTCCTGTCCTTTCCAATTTCTCTGGTAGCCCCACTCCATCCCTATCCCCGTTCCTTCATCTCTAGCATTAATATAAATTCTTTTTTTTTTTTTTTGGCCCCCATTCGATTAATTCTTCCCTCATTTCCAGTACCACTCCCATTTTACTTACACAGCACCAGGACCAGTTCAGCAGCAAAGAGGCGGATGGAAGCCTCAGCAAAGCAGCCAACAGCGGACCACAGGGAGTACAGATCTGTGCTACAGTAGCTGCACACTGCAAAGTACCAGAAGTCTAGGCAATATTTAAGGGCTACTGGGCCGGGGCTCAAGGCATCATAGGCCTCCTGCCCAACCTGATGCCACATGCTATATGCTCCCTCTCCCTTTGGGAGAGAAATGCTGTAAGAAAGGGAACAGAGTAAAAGCAGAACAAGCCAAAGGGATGTGGAGAGAATGGAAGAGGGACCTTGGGAATGAGAAGAGAGACCACTCACTAATGAAGAGATGCCGTTTTCCCTGCCAGCTGTCTCCCAAACCATGTACAAAAGGATGGTTGATCTGTCGCTATGGACAAAGAAAACAGGAAATTAGGGGAAAACAAGATAACTGAGGATCAAGGCAACCAAGAAGTCAATATACCTACATGTGCAGAAAGGGAGCTGCTGTCCCACCTGTCAGTTTACTAGTAGGTGAACTAAATTGGGGCTGTCTGCCTGGTAATCCAGGAACCAGCATAATACTAAGGAACGCACTGGGACATGCTGGAGAGATTTCCCTGGCACCACAGGCTGAGGTGATGCCCAATATGAGGCTGAGCTCACCCAGGAGGGGCAACAATGCTGGAGGAAGCTGCTGCTGCTGTGTCCTCCCTCCACGCCACCCTATCCAGCACAAGGAGGAAGAGGGGGAAGAGAGGGAGATAGAGAGGAGAAAGATTTTACTATGCATTTTACTGTAGGCCAACAGAAGTTGGGGATAAAGGTAACTGTGTCAGCAAATCTTGGTGACAACACAACAAATGCTTCTTCAGAAGAGACTAGTCCCTCTAAAGACACTGTGGGGTGTCTCAGCAACCCATGATAGCAATAACATGATAGAGGAAAAGGTGGCATCTGAGCTCCCCCAGGATGTGCCAGGTACAGAGTACAGTGTATCAGTGCCTCTGTAATGGGGGAAATGCTTCCCCTTTTGTAGTAAAAGCTGAATGTCACCTAAAATTTTAAAAGTATATGTTCATTCATCTTGCTTCCTCATGTATCATCCCTGACTGCTAAATTGTCACCTAACATTTGTCAAATTCATCATAATCTTCATTTTCAAGTTTGTTTAGCTGTTTTTGTCTAATGGACATATTTGTGTATTTTATCACCAAACTAAAATGGGGGCAGATATTTTAGTTTTAAGTACTTACATACTAATGACTCAGTGTTGAATGAAATTCCAATTCTTTATATGCTAACAAATTAATTGCATGTCTGCATGTGCTCATGTAGTTTTTCTTTAACATTTCAAATCATAATATAGAAAACCATTGTCATAAAATTCTTTGCAAGATATATTTGACATAAAATTTTGTTAATCAGTAATTCATATTTTAAGCTTAAAGTTAAAATTATACTCAAAATGTTATTACATCAAGAGTGTCATTATGTTTTTCTTTTTGCATTTTTTAAAAATGAAAAAAATTGATATAGGAGCTATATGTATTTTATTTAAAACAAATTTAAAAGTTTAGATGAGCAAAACAATAAGCACTGGTGAGTCCACTAAAAATTAAGAATTATAGTTAACTAGAGGCCCAGTGCATGAATTCATGCACAGGTGGGATCTGGCTGGCCCACCCTGACGGGGGCCCATCTGGCTGGGCTGGCTGTGGGGAGGGGCCACAGGTGGTTGGCCCGCTGGCTCTTCCCCCGATTGGGGTGTTGGGGGCCAATCATCAGAGGTGAGATTGGCCAGAGGGAGGGGGAGGGGGAACTGATCAGAGCCCAGATCAGACTGGTTGGCTGCCACAGTGTGCATCATAGCCACTGGTGGTTCTGGTCTTTCTGGTCCTGCCATTCCGGTTGCTGGGCTTTTATATATAAAGATAACCTTAATGGAAATCCTAAAAGATTTTTACTACATATTATAAAAATATTACATAATTATTTTCTCTCTTCAGTATCTTTCCTTTATTTTAGTTATTCTGGTAAGAATGTAGGGATATCTTATTCTGATTTGAACTTACAGTTGCCTGCTGCTAAGGATATTAAGCACCTTTTCATGTGTAAGTATGTATGTATACACATACATACAGGTCACTTGGATATCTGCTTTTGTGAAGTGCCTGTGAGCTCCTTTCTTCATTTTCTATTAACTGGTTTCTTTTTTGTTTGTGGTTGTTTCATGGGTAAGGATAAATCCAGTCCCTTTACTCTATCTTTACTAGAAGCATTAGTTCCTACATTGATTAAAAAAAAAAAAAAAAAAAATATATATATATATATATATATATATATATATATATATATATAATTGATTTTTTACAAAAAAGGGATAGAGAGTTAGAAACATTGATGAGAAACATCAATCAGCTGCCTCCTGCACACCCCCTACTGGGGATGTGCCCGCAACCAAGGTACAGTACATGCCCTTGACCGTAATTGAATCTGGGACCCTTCAGTCCACAGGCTGATGCTCTATCCACTAAGTCAAACTGATTAGGGCCTACATTGATTTTTTTAAAGTGTAAAACCCAATCTCATATTCCTAGAATACAACTTGGTTGTGATATATTTTCATTCTTATTTATTTATTAATATTTTGTTTATAATTTTTGTATCTGCTTTCATGAGTGAGATTGGCTTATAGTTTTCCTTCTCTGATAATGTCCATGCCAGGCTTATACTGGCTTCAGAAAATGAGTGGGGAAAGTTCCCAACCACAAACAAAAAAAGGACTTAGACTAACTCTGCTGATACCGTTTCCCCGAAAATAAGACAGTATCTTATATTAATTTTTGCTCCCAAAGATGCGCTAGGTCTTATTTTCAGGGGATGTCTTATTTTTCCATGAAGAAGAATATGGTACACATTTATTGTTAAAATAAAGGAAATTTATTACCTGTATACGGTACGGTAGTATGGTAGTTGTCAACACAAACCAGACAAACTGTGAATCCTACAGTATCAACAATTTACTCATTTATTCAATGACAATCATGTCATCATCTTCTGGAACATCATCATAACAATCCAATTCCTGAATTTCCTGGTGAATTTCTTGTGACTCCACTTCTTTCAGAGTCAGTGGACCAAATCTCTCATGTTTAGCCTAGGGGGGTCCTTATTTTCAGGGGGATGCCTTATATTTCACTCAGAAGGAAACCTGTAAGTAGGTCTTATTTTTGGAGGATGTCTTATTTTCGGAGAAACATGGTAGCTACTTTTCCCAGGATCTACTTGGTTGAATCCAAGGGAGGGGCAGAACCAGGAATACCAGGACAGTTGGACAAGAGAGGTGCTTTCTCCACCATAGTTCTTACTAGGATCCTTTCCAGGGCTCTGTGCCTACCTGGATGCTAACCTCCTCTTTGCACTGCCTCAGGATGTCCTTCTGGAGGACCTTGACCTTGGGCACCACCTATAAAAGGATAGAAATTATGACTCCTAGAGGCAAATAGTGCTATTGAATTGTTTATTCCTCCCAACCTTTCTGGAACCAAAACGAGGCAGGGATTAGAAAATAATGTGGAAGAATATCTAGGTCCCTACCTTCACTGCAAAAACTGCTTTCTGGCCACAGTCTAGCACCTTGAAGACAGTTCCAAAGGAACCTTTAGCCACAAGGCCTAAAACCTGTACAGAAAAATGGAGAACAGGGGAATTGAGACTCTGGTTGTTTCTAAATTTCTCACCAAGACTGAGACCCCTTCCAGTGATTCCATTTGACCTACCTTCAGCTGCTGATGCCCTCTAAGGGGCCTAATGGGAAACTCCGGCAGAAAGAGGTTGATGAACTGAGGCACTGGCCACTCAGACAGAGGCCTCTCTACTAGCAGTGAAGCTGGCTCCTGATGTTGGCACTGATGCCCCCGTAGTCCCCACAGTTCTTCCAGGCCTGACCTGATGGTCCCCACACCTGACCAGAGGCTCTTCCAGCCTCGGACCCAGGGGCCCTGGATGTTGCTACCCTGCTGAGAACCAAAGAAGCCACTCTAAACCTCTGCCTCCCTGAGGCATTACAGGTTCTGCCCATCTCAGCAGGTGCTCTCTCTAATCTCAACCCTAGAGATATAATTTTGAGACCAGGCAAAATCACTACTACTTCTCTTGCTTGGGACCAAGTAAGGTCGAGATTTCCTGATTATAATTCAAATCATCTAGGAAAGCAGTATTTGGACATTTTCCCCACGAGGCATCGAAGATTCAGCCTGCACCTCCCAGTATGGAGGAATACTTTCACAGTATAGCCTCCCCACCTCCCCGCCCCCCCCGGGGGGGGGCATTACTAACATTCTTCACATCAGCCTCAAGCCCAGATTTCCTTCACCTCCCCTAAACAGGCTGCCAGAGCCCACAGCCTACCTTATTAGGAAGAGCCACCTGGGCATGTTGCCCCTGTCGACAGTTAATTGTTCCCATTCCCAGCCTCTGCCTCTTTCTCCTTTCACTAAATCTGCTGTCCCAGTTACATAAGCAGTTCCTCCCCCTATGCTGCATTACACATGAGCCCCGCCTCTTACTTGCTATTCATAACTAGAGATGCAAGTGATACAACCAAACCTCACCTTTATCCCCAAATCCTATCATCCCTGGTTAAGAAGAGGTTTATAACCAGAACTAAAATGTGCAGAGAACTATCAGCATAGAGCCAGTGTCACACCAGAGCTGGGATAGGAAATATCTGTGATACATTATTAGGCAGGAGGGAAGAAGCCAACCTCTCATAAGAGTGGCAGCTAGAGGATGTGTCTTAGGTTGATGGGGAAGGAAGGATACATACAGGTTAAATCCATGCACTCAACACAATAAAACAAAAACAAACAAAACAAAACAAAAACACAGAAAAAAACCAGCATCAAATTTAAAATATATTTTTTTCTCTTTAAATCATTTTCTTACCATTCTCCAGAGCATACCCCAGGGGGACCTATGGCCAGCCCTGGCTTCTGTTGTCATTTCCCCAAGTGACCTTGGCATAAATTATGGGGGGAGAGGCTGATTCCCCCCATAAACTAATACCTCTTTTATACAAGGCAGTGGAATGAGGGACAGATCAGCCCTCTGGCGTCCCCCCTCCCCCAACTTTCTGGCACAGGGGAAGAGCAGTTACATTTAGAGAAATATATATATATATATATATATATATATATATTTATATATGTCTATTTATAAAAATTTATCACACTTGATCAGAACTGTCCCCCACCCCATCAGCTGACCCCAAAGGAACCAGATCCTAGTCCTGGGGCCATTTCCTGGGTCTTGCTCTCTTGACGCCTCTCTGGCCCTCGGCCAGCTGATCAGTGTGAGGTAGTACTCAGCATTATTACCCACCATATTCTGCAGAGAACAGGTCAGCTGCTAAAAAAGCAGTGTCTTTCTCTGCAGTACCCTGTGGGCTCCTACCCCAACAAGTCCTGGTGGATAAAGGGAAGTGCCTTCCCACCCCACAAGTCCCTGGGTCCTGAGTCAGAGTCAGATCCTGTATTGCAGCCATTCTTGAATTGCCGGATCACTTGCGCCTGCCAAAAATGGACTTCTTGCCAGGGTTCTTGTTGCCCACACTTAAACCGATGAGGAGCCGCGCTTTCTCCTCTTCTTCCTGCTGTTGCATGTTGAGGTCTGATTTAGTTTCTAGCTTTCCCCGGACCTCTGACCCTGTTGCAGGCTTCAGCCTTAGCTTCTCTTTGATTACCTGATAGGTCAGAGAGGAGTAAAAGGGAAGGTAAATATTAGTGGGACAGACAAAATAAGTCATAGTGAATCAATTAATCAAGATTTATTAAATTTACACACATGCACAATGGATGGAGTCCTTCAAATCCTAAAATGATCTCTGCTTTCAAGAAGCTTACAGTCTAATTAGAGCCATTCTAAACCTGAGTTTGTGTCAGCTCTCAGTTTCCTAAAAAGTCAATAGTTAACATATGAAACCATAAACATTCAATTTAATCTTCTGAACAGAGTCATGGAGAGAGCAGGGATAAAAGTTGTTCACTTTATCCACCTGTCCCATCCCTGCTTGTTAACACACACTACAAAAAAACAAAACAAAAAACAAAACAAAAAAACACTACAATGAAATGCTCCTGAGCAAAGGATCTGCTTTCCAGATCCTGCTAACCAAACAGCCATGAACTCTGCCGGGATACCTGCGCAACCAGGGCTTTGCGGCTGTCCCTTTTGACAGCCATGGCAAAGTCTAGCCATGTCCATGTGTTGTTGTGGTACTCCAGACAGGGCAGTACCAGGTTAAGGTCACCCCAGTCCACACTGTTCTTCTCACCCTGCAAGAATGGGGAGGGAAGAGAAAGAGAAAGGGAAAACATCATATGCCACTTTTAGTCCACGCTAATACTTGAATCCAAGTCTAATACCTTCCCATATAGCAGCAAACTATTGATTCCCCCTTATCTAAGGCTGACAATGGAAGCAGGCAACACAGATTCATCACCAATGGCCCAACTTCATAAGCTAGACTATCTCCCTGTCTTTAATGATGATCTTATCTGGTTCCCTTCCCACCCTGTTCTAGAAAGTGCTGGAGAGGAGCAGACCTTGTAGCTGACACACAGTGGAACCTGTGGAATCTTTATATAGATGAAGGAATTGTTCATGGCAGCTCGTTCTTTCATCTTGTCAATATCATCCACAGGGTGCTAGGAAAGGCAAGAAAGGAGTGTGAGCCCCTGAAACCATCTGAAGAAATTTAGGACCCCCAAACATCTCCCTCTCCTTCCATCCCTGGAGTAAATTCAAAGGCAACAGAAGAAATCCCCAGCCAAGCTTAATGGAAATCCTAGGACTTCATTTTTCTATCTTCAGGGGCATGGCCAATACCTCTGGGGCTTTGCGAAATGACCTTCTGACCCCAGAACTCCGATTCAAGCCCTGTGCCACACCCTTCCCAGGGCCCAGTGCTGCTGTATCGTCTGTTGCAATCAGCTGCCGAGGCTTCACCACTGGTATTCCTATGAAAAAGCAAGCACACCAGCTGTTGCCTTCTTTCTGGAGCTTCAGCTCTCTCTGAGGCTGCTATGCTACCCCAGTCTTCTGGAGCACCACCGTAAAAGTTCTCACCAGTAGTCACCAGTTTGGACTTATCTTCCTCATCACCAACCTCATCATCTTCCACATTTCGACCAGGAAAGAAAAAGCCCATTATTCTATGGAAGAACTGGTGTGTCAGCTGGATGGTGAGAGGCACCACATTTACCTAAAGAGGAAAAAGGCTGAAGAAGCAATTAAGTTCAGACATCATCCCTCAGTTTACCTACCCCTAACAGCATAATATCGATACAATGCACAGATAGCTTTTGACTGCCCTTTATTCCTGGATCTCCAAAGGACTATTTACTAACCTCAAAGTGCTCCTTAACAGATATACCCCCAACAGGGGGCCGGACTTTGCTGAACAGACGGAGAGCTAGCTGTCGCCCAGACTGGCAGGAGCTCTGGGGCCTCAGGACTACCTGTAGGATAGAATGACAAATCAGCCCACAAATCCTCTGCAGACTAAAGAGAAGCAATAGTCTTGCAAACTTTTACCATTTCAGATCACCACACTGTTTCCCATAGTGGGTTTATGTGGAAGGGCCATTATAAAAGGCCCGTGTTAGAAAGTATGTGGATGGGCTAGGAATGGGGAAATAAGACTTGCCTTGTAGACAGCATTGGGAAGGAGGTTGTTCATAGTGAACCAGCCCAACTCCAGAAGATGTTCTGCTGTATCATCAGATTTATTCACCTATAAAGAAAGATGATCCCCCCAATCCACTATAATAAGCCTTTTCTCAAGAGCTTGCTAGAGAATTGCTACATAACGTATTTGTTTTCAGGTTCTCCATATGCCTAATCCCAACCTTTAATATCTCTTTTGAACTCAAATAATCCTGTTTTTCATGGGACCTACTGGCCAGGGCACTAAATGCCAGTAGTATTTCCCAGTCACTATGACATTCAAAAATAGTCTCATTCATTCCCAAACAACCTGGAAAGGGGCAGGGTCAGGGAGAAATGAACAATGTCCTCTCCTCTATGCCATGGGTAATTGCAGGAAGCTGAATGCCAATATAGAATTAAGGTTCTATTTCAAGCAGTATTTAGAATACCTCCCTCTGGGCCACATTTCTAGGGATAATCTTATTCACTGAGGGAAACATTTGACCACTCTCATCTATAATTGCATGTATCTAAGGGGAACTCTGCTCATGTTTCATTAGTAACCTTTAATAACATCATATTGATCATAATATGCAAATTGACCAAATGGTGGAACAACATGCACTGACCACTAGGGGGCAGACGCTCAGTGCAGGAGCTGCCCCATGGTGGTCAGGTCAGTGCACTCCCACAGGGGGAGCACCACTCTGCCAGAAGAAGCCAGGCTCCCGGCTGGCGAGTACAGCAGCAGTTGCAGAAGCCTCTCCTGCCTCCCCAGTAGCGCTAAGGACCCCTGGGGGATGTCCAACTGCTGGCTTAGGTGAGGGCTTAGGCAAGGGGTTCTGGGCTGTGAGAGGATGCAGGCTGGGCTCAGGGACCCCCACACTCAGGCCTCTAGTAGTTATATAAAGACTAGCTCCTTTTTGTTTCTCTTTTTGTGAGTTAGACTCCTAAGATAGGTCAGTGTCTCTCAATACAGCTGCCTTAGTATATGATTGTATAGACCCAATACCTTGCTATAGAGAAACCGCTGCAGTTCCAGTTCTGCAATTCCTAGCTGTCCATCTTCCTCTGTCAGGCGCCAACGTGCCTGAGCAAAGTAGAACTCAGTGCGACGAACCACACTCACATCTTCCTGCTGCTTTCGCAGCTCCATCTTGTTGGCCTGCTGCAACTGGAAATCCTTAAAACACCTGTAAATGGACAGGAGGATCAAAGCCAATACAGGCACTAGCATTTGAGTTGGGGGTGGGGTGGAATGATGCATGAGATAATCTATTCTGAAACAGCTATCCTCTACTTTTTTTTTTTCAAAGTATCGCTTCTCACATCCTGCCATAGGAATGCAAATCCATCTTTCAGTTCTACATTCTTCTTTCTTTTTTTTTTTAAAAAATATTTTATTGATTTCCCACAGAGAGGAAGGGAAAGAGATAGTTAGAAACATTGATGAGCTGAGACCGGTTTGGCTCAATGGAAAGAGCGTCGGCTTGGGGACTGAAGGGCCCCGGGTTCGATTCCGGTCAAGGGCATGTACCTTAGTTGCGGGCATATTCCCAGTAGGGGGTGTGCAAGAGGCAGCTGATCGATGACTCTCTCTCATCGATGTTTCTAACTCTATCTCTTTCACTTCCTCTCTGTACAAAATCAATAAAATATATTAAAAAGAAAAAAAAAGAAACATCGATGAGAGAGAAACATCGATCAGCTGCCTCCTGCACACCCACTACTGGGGATGTGCCCACAACCAAGGTACA